TATAAAGTATTACAGGCATGATTATTAAGACACTTTACGTTAGCTAAACTTCATTTTCTGATCATAATCGAAAAAGGACGACAAGTGGTATCAGTCTATATTGCTTATATTTTTAGAATAGCATTTTGTAGTTGTTGCGTTATGATCTCTCTTTATGGCCTTCACTCTTTTAAATTTTTAATTTGTACATGACTTTCATTCTCAATAAGATTTTCCTTTTTTTTTTTTATTGGGGATGATTGATATATCTTTAATGGTGTATATATATATATATATATATATATATATATATATATATTAGCTTTATATTCAGCCTTATAAAAACCTAGCTACAGTTCTTTGTTTCATGCAGACCCAAGACACAAGATTAGAGCCAAGAAACACAGCAAAGCCACTTGTAGATTTTCAGTCCGCCGGACAGCCAGCCCAGTCAGAATCAGAGAAAGCATGAATTTCTCTTGAAGATGACTTTCTAACTCGTAAACCAAAAGTAACAATTCATTTAACATACCTCAAAACTCTTTTTAATTGTTCCCAGTGTGAAACTGTAGGAGCATGCATGTGTTGACACAACTGATTGACTGAAAAGGAAAGATTACGGCGAGTGACAGTTAAATATTGTAATGCACCAGCCAAACTCATGTACTGTGTAGGATCATCATACAATGTTGTATCAATGACCACGGTTTTCGAAGTAGAAATAGGAGAAAATATTTCTTTACATTCTGTTGTGAAAGCAAAATTCCATCAATGCATTTAACTGTCTCAATTCCAAGAAAAAATCCAGGTTCACCAAGATCTCTAATTTTGAATGCAGTAGAAAGTTTTGACACTAACTGAGTAACTAGATCCTGATCACTTCTCATCATAAGTATATCATCCACATAAACTAACAGATATACACAATCAGATCCCTGTGAGTAGTAAAACAAGGACACATCCGTTTTTTATGCTTCAAAACCAATAGATAGTAAGAAGGTGTGCAAACGATTAAACCAAGCCCTAGGTGCCTGTTTTAATCTGTAAAGAGACTTTTTTTAACAAGCAAATGTGATTTGGATACTGAACATCACTATAACCAGGTGGTTGCTTCATGTACACAATTTCAGATAGATTTCAATTTAAAAGGGCATTATGAACATCAAGTTGCCTAACAGTCCACCCAGATGATAAAGCCAAAGAAAGAAGTAACATGACAGTAGTTGGCTTGTCACTGGACTGAAGGTGTCAAAGAAATCTTGCCCAGGCACATGATTGAACCCTTTTGCTACTAGTTTTGCCTTATGTTTCTCAATGGAGTCATCTGCTATTCGTTTTGTACGAAAGACCCACTTACACTTAATAATATTCATACTTGCCTGTGATGGTACGAGAGACCATGTTTGATTCTGAAGGAGGGCATTAAATTCCTGATCCATGGCTTCACGCCATTCTGGGTACTTAACTACCTGAGTGTAACAAGTGCGATCCGAATGACAAACCCGAACCGTTAAAGCTGATGGTGGAGCCTGAGACCGACTCCGAGTGCTCATCACGTGAGTCCGGACGGTGGACTTCACGGATTTTCCCCAAGGTCGGCCACGAGGCTGTGTAGCCGGTTGGACAGGCTGGTCATGCGGCTCGTGCTCGGGCAAGCTGGCTGGCTCGTTGGTGGTGCAGCTATGTCGCCGCTAGGTGCGACATTGGTGCTGTCGTGAGACTGCCCAGGCAGGGCAGCACGATAGCACTCGGACAAAGACCGATTCAACCCACAGATAAGTCTGTACCAGTAGAGAAGCCTGCAATTTATTTTTAGTAGCAAAGGGATATACTGTCTCATCAAATCTTACATGCTTGCACACATAAATCTTGTTAGTCTGTAAGTCCATGTACCTATACCCCTTAAACGACTCAGGATAACCTAGGAAGATACACGAAGAGAACCGGTATGACATTTTGTGATGATTGTATGGTCTGAGATATGGGTAACATAGACACCCAAAGACATGAAGAAAATAGTAGGAAGGATGGGAGTTATGCAATTTTGAATGAGGACTGGAGTTATTTAACACAACAAATGACATTTTGTTGATTAAATAAATTGCAGTTTCAAAAGCAAAAACCCAGAATTTATATGGAACAGAGGCACGAGCTAGGAGAGCTAAACCCGTTTCAACTATGTGTCTATGTTTTCGTTCGACACGACCATTTTGTTCATGAGTGTAGGCATAGGATTGTCTATGAGTAATTCCTAACTAGACAAAGGAATGATGCAACTTTTTGTATTCAGCTCCTAAATAAGATTGAATGGATTTTTATTTTTATTTTTATTTTTTTTTGTTGAAAAAACGTTCAACCATTGTCCAAAATTTATTAAAGATGACATAGAGATCAGATTTTAATTTCATGGGAAAATACCAGGTGTAGCGAGTATAATCATCCACAAAAATGACAAAATAGTGATAACCATCAATGGACAATAAAGGAGCTGGACCCCAAATATCTGTATATATTAATTATTAAGTCAAGAACACTATAACTAGATGACTCAACACGTGACAATGGGAATCGAGTAGATTTGCCCAATTGACACGCATTACACAAATTAGAATTACAACGAATAGAACTACTAGACCCACTAATCGAACATGACTGAAGAATACGAAGTAAAATCGATGATGTGGATGTCCTAAACGATCATGTCACACTGACGCAGACGTACAAGTAGAAAGAAACGCAGAGGGAGACGAACTGGCAATTGGAAGCCTGTACAGACCCCCAGAGCTATTGCCCTGTAGCAACACTTCCTTGGTATTGGTATCCTTCACAACCAAAAAAAGATGGATGAAACTCAAAAAACACTTTATTATCGGAAGCAAATTTTTGAACCGATAACGAAGATGTAGACAAAGTAGGAAATGAAGGATATTAGGTAATTGGAAAGATCTAGATGGGGTATTAAAGGAAGCATGACCAACACGACTAATAGAGAGTGTCTTACCATCACCAACACGCAAAGTGTCATTACCTGTGTATTCCTCAGAAATGGATATGGAAGCAATATCTGGAGTCACATGATTGGTTGCCCTAGTTTAGAATACATACCTGAGAACCATTCAAATATGGACTATTATTCTGATATGTCAAATTTGCTTGAGCAGGGGGATCATAACGTTGTAACATGCCAAAGCCGTGTGTCCGGTACGACCACAAATTTGACACTGGGTTTGAGTGTTTGACTGACATTTGCACTGTTATCGCCACTGCCACGTTGACCACCATCGCGGTCTCCAGTCGATCGGCCACCACCAGCTCGTTGACCGTCGTTGCCCTGAACACCACGATTGCCGCTGCGGTTCCACCCTCCTCGCTGGGCAGTAAAGACCGCCGGCGAGCCGCCATTGACAGGTCCGCGAATGAATTCTTGAGCACTAAGAAAGTCGGCTAGCTCTCCAAGGGTAACGGGTTGACCGCGAACCGATAGCGATGCGGTCAGGTTTTGAAACCCTGGCCGTAAACCGCGAAACACATAAAGATTCATCTTGTCCAATCCAACCACCCGACCGGCCAGGGATTTGTCCTCCATAATAACATGTGCACGACCAATATAATAGGCAACCATGGAATCTCCCTAACTAAGAGATTGAAGTTGGCCAAGGAGATTTAGGGACCGGGCACGAGATGCGGAAGCCAAAGATTGTTTGATTGACTCCCAAACGTCCCGTGACGTACGACGTCCAACGGCAAGGTGCATGATTTCCTCAAAGAGAAAAGAAATCAACATAGACATAAGAGCCCGGTCATGACGAAACCACGATGTGTAAGCGGGGTTGGATTCCAACGTGGCGCTATCGACGGCGGGGAGGAATGGGGTCGGACACGGATGGCTCTCATCGACAAACGACATGAGACCGTGACCGTCCAGGAACGGTACGACTTGAGTCCTCCAAAACAAATAATTTTTATGAGTGAGCTTAATACTGATAAAGTGGTGAGTAGTAGAAAGCGAATTAACAGTCATGCTAGCGGCATCAGAAAGGGTCCGTTCGGAGGAGTTAACAGATCCGTCAGCCATTGGAACAAAAGGCAAAAACCCTAGCTTAACTGATACTAGATGAGAACTGTATAAAACTGTATTAAACTACATTGAATGAACATTGTAACAACTGTACAGATTGGGGATATATATACAAGAGGAATCATAGGTAGACTAGGATAGGGAGTCATAATGTGACTCAAATACATAGAGTCCTAATAACTAGTATTCTATGAATATGGATCTTGTCCAATAATCTTGAAACAATGATCACTTAATAATACAATCTTCTATCATAGTTTCTAAGTGTTATATATTATTTGTTTTTCGATTTAATAACTATTGAAAAATGTATTTCCACCATCCATAAAAAGTTTGATTAGAATTTTTAGAGCCAGCACAATAGTGATTTTTGCTTAATTTTTGAGGGAGAAAAAATTAGAAATTGATTTTTATCTAATGGAAAATGAGTTTTTTGGCTATATTTTTATCTTGCAAATATGATTTTTGGATGAGGTCCACTTTTGAGGGAAAAGGAGAAAACTTGTGCAGATTGTTGCGCGTGTGCAGCAATCTGTGCGCCTAGAAGACTCGTAATGCCTTTATTCTTTTTTTTTTTTTTTTTTTGGTCAGAATTTATTTTTTTTTTTAGAATTTATTATTATTATTATTATTTTCATTTTTTTATCTTCTCACTTGCTTCTCCCCGGTATAACCTACAAAAAACCCACAAAAATCTACAATTATTAAGATCGCTCTTAGTTACAAAAAGTTTACACATTTTTGTCAACAAAAAATGTTTAGAAGGAAATCTTGCAATTATGTTCATTGGGTCAACAACCCATTAGAGAAATTTCCAAGGCCCACCAATGAGTGTGCGGAGTTTGAGTAGAATTCCCAACCAAAGCAGCCACACCCATCATGGCCATCAATTAATGGAAGCCAATAATAATTTAATCAAACAAAATACAAAAACCCAAAAAACCGTAAACAAAGTCAGTCATATATTCTCCGCGTTGAGAGCCAGCCAGAAGCTCCAAGGAAAGAAGAAAACAACAAATCGGCAAATAGCTTCCAATCTCGAATCTCTTATCAGGTTCTTCACTCTTCCACTTTCTGTATATTACTTATATAATCCTTGTATCTATGTACGCAGTTGTTGGATTTTTTACAGAAATTTCCTGATCTACGTTTTCGCTTCCTATATAATCATCAGATCGGAGCTGATCTCTTCGATTTTCAGGTTGTTTTGAGCTATGGCTTCGAAACGAATCTTGAAGGAGCTCAAGGATCTCCAGAAAGATCCTCCTACCTCTTGCAGCGCTGGTATTTCTCATTCTGTTTATGCCAGTCGTTTTGCTTGATTTTGTTTTGATGAAAATGAGAAAATCGATGTTTTATTGGCGATCTGTGGATATTTTGGAGATTATGTAAGCACATGTGTTTCTGTGTAGGGTTTCTGCTTTGTATCTTGGTTGGATATATGTATTTATGGTGTGCTTTGGTGTTATTGTTGGATGGATATAAAATGTAAAGGGAAATCTATATTCGAAATATCCATTAAAGGCTTTATTTTATATGACTTGGTGGTCAATTTTGTTAGCTGCAGTTAGAACTCGAATGCAAAATATAAATATTACTGCACTAAAGATTTCAGTTGCTAACCTATCCAAGCTTGCTTTAATAGGGACTTAAGGCATGCATCTGTTGACGAAGTAAGCTATGAAACATTCAAGACAGTAGTTAATGAAAGATGCGGTAGTATAGTTGTTAAAGTTGTCTATTATACTTGTTGGTTTTTTCCCCTCTGCCCTCATTCTTTTTTCGATCTAAGGTTGAAATTAACAAAATTAGTAAGCATTAAAATTTCTTTTACAGAATAGTAACTATTGACATGCCATTTTAAGAAATAAAACATGAGGTTGTTAGATAAAGTTCAATTCAAATCGTTTCATTGATAAGCATCCTTCAAATTTTCATAAAAATTGAACTTTGTAAATCTAGAGCAATTGTTATATTACTCAAGTAATAACATAATATCCCTATTCATTGGGAAAATAATCCAAATATGGGATATCTTACATTTTGGGAAAAATAATTCAAATGTACTTGCCGTACAATCCTTTGTTTCCTCAAAAGTTGTGTATTCAAATGTGTAGCACATGTGGGATTCTCGAAAAAATATTTGGTTTTAGTGTCAACGTTATAGAACGCCCCATTGGACAGGAGATGGGCCCCTTGTGGCTAGGTGGGCACCTAGATGCCTTAGTAAAAATAAAATTGAATAATTAAATAAATTATTTAAAAAATTAAAATCATTTGCTAATCCTAGCATTAAAGCCAAAAGGGGATATAAGGCATATAAACCGTCAAAGTCTTGGAAAGTAGGCTTTTAAGGCATTAAAGCCAAAAAGGGAATGTTGAAAATGGTAAAACTTGAAAATTTTGAGCTGCGGCTGGGGCGATGGCCGCTATGGGTTGCGGCAATGTGCTTCGTCACTTGTCTGAGTTGTCTTGATCCATCAATCGGCTACCACAGTCCACAGCTGGCCAGCGATGGCATATGAGCGGCAAAAGGTGAGGGCAATTTAGGGAAATTATGGTTGGCCATCGATGGCGTCATGTTCTAGGTTTGAGGTTTCTGACTTCTCTGAGTTTCTGCTTGGCAATGTTGTGTGATCTAATGTGATACTGTGACGTTGGCCATTCCATTTTAGGTTTGTTTTGCTCAAAACGATGTCGTTTTGAGTGAAACAAACCTAACTGCAAAATAATAATTTGGCCAAGTGATTAGTTGGCCAAGTCCACCGACTGAATAAATTGGTGACTAGTGCTTGTTTCATCTATCGTCTCAGCCTAGTCGGTGCCTAGGTGGCTGCCTAGGCTGAATTTTTCAACTGTGATTAGTGCAAATGATGATGGTTCCTCTTTACTATTATAATATGATATTTCAATTCAAATCCTTAGGTTTTTACAAATTTTAATGTAAATCAATTCATGTCCTAAAATCTCTCTTAACTCTAAAAAATTCTCAAAAAGAAATGTGCAATTGACATGTGACCATCATCAGTGCCATGTTTTTCCCTGTATAGCAAACCACAAACATGAAATTGTTCTTTGTGTTCTCTTTCTCACCATAAAATAAGTATTAACATTTTCTATATTACTTGTTGAACAGGACCTGTTGGTGAAGACATGTTTCATTGGCAAGCTACCATAATGGGTCCCCCAGATAGTCCTTATGCAGGGGGTGTGTTTTTGGTCACTATTCATTTCCCCCCTGATTATCCTTTCAAACCTCCAAAGGTACAACATGTTGAATGTTACATTTGGCACTATATTTGTAGTAATGTAGTCTCATTTTGAAAGCTTTTTTTGCTTTGTTTTGGTGTCCTGTGGGTTTGGGGGATGTTCAGTTTGTTGTAGTGATCTGCTTTGCTATTTAGTTTAATATTTAGATACAAGTGAAACCTCTGTAGTTCTGTTGCTGATTTGTATTACATGTCAGTTTGAAGATTGTGTCTTGTTTACATGGAATTCTCATCTATGTTAACGCTGGCTTAATAAAAAAGTAAAAAAGTAAAACTGAAAGAAAGAAAAAAGGAAATACATTCTCTAAACTGTGCTTGAATACATACCCTTAAGCAGCACTATGCAGTTATTTTGTTATTTATTGCTTCCAGACAATCTGAAATGATGGAAAATAGTCATGTATGATGTGTGAACAGAGAAGAAGTAAAATGAATGAGGAGAATAGTACTAATTATACACGGGGAAATAGAGATAAGCTTGCTTCTTCAATGTGAACATACAGCAAGAAAAATGGACTATTTGATGTGAAAAGAATTTCAGCGTACATCTTTGATAATTGCTGAGATAAACTTGTGTATGAAAGCCTCTCTCAGGGCAAAATTTCCTCAATATGAAATTCATGATTGAGTTCACTACATGTCAAATAAAAATTTGAAACTTGGAATGGTCCAAATGTCTGATATTGCATTGTTTACAACTTTTTGCTTTAGAAAATAGAAATTGCACCTTTTATTTGCAGTGACAGTTCTTCCTATTTTAGTTACATCTGTATAATTCTTGCAGGTGGCTTTTAGAACAAAAGTTTTTCATCCCAATATCAATAGCAATGGTAGCATCTGCCTTGACATCTTGAAGGAGCAATGGAGCCCTGCCTTGACTATTTCCAAGGTTTTAGCTTTTGAATTTTGCTCACTACTTTTGTTTAGAAATAATGCAAGCCATCATGATATGCTTAAAAATTAGCTCTCAACCTCTAAATTCAGGTTTCCGGAACATTTCTGTTATGTTTCTAGAGTGGATTAGATTCAGATTTTGGATCTAGTTCATTGCCCTTAATTTTCACTTGCTCTCACATATTCTGTATATTGGCAATCTTCCCAGCCCCTAGTTTGTATTGTTATTGTCATACCCTTCTCTCCCAAAAATCAGCAAGTTCTAGAAGCAGTATGTTACCAATATTTCCACTTCATCATGGAGTAATAGGAATAATTTTTGACAAACTGATTACTAATGTGCCATATACATGCCTTCAATTCTCAGAGTGTGAATATCTGGGTGGTTACCAGTTACAGGGAACACGAAATTGCCTCATTCCTGTAAAGATTTATTATCACTTTGGGATCTTATATTCTTATTGTAGCCTACAGACACCCCCATCATTGAAAATCTGACTTCACTGTTTCTTTCCCCTTTAATTTATCATTAATTTAAAAAAAAAAAAACAATAAAAGAAACTGTTTCTTGCATTTTTTTTTTTAATTTCTTAGGATGGACATTTGTATGAATGCATTTATGAAAATAGGATCCCTATTCCACGATGGTAGTAATATCTGATTCAAAAGATCACCAATCCTTTGTCCTTTTCCAATTAGTTTTTGGCTGATTTGGTACTGCTTATATAGAATAGAACTGAGTAATATCTGATTCAAAGGATCACCAATCCTTTTGTCCTTTTCCAATTATTTTGTGGCTGATTTGGTACTGCTTATATAGAACTAAGTGAAACAATGCTCCATAGCAATTTGCACTTGAGTAGCATGAAATTTTTTACAAGTTATCATGCATGCATGTTGGACCTATGTGCATCTACGTTATGGTAAATCGTTATTATGTTGGCATGAATAGACCTCAGGTGTCAGGTATAGAGAATGCTGAATCTATCTTATAAAGTTTATAGGTTTACATTTCTGTGCAGAATTGCAAGTTAATTTTAGTGAATGAGAGTTTTTAAGTCTGTTTCTCAAGGTGGGAAAGGTTTTTGTATCTTACTTCTCAGGTTTTGCTTTCAATCTGCTCACTTCTAACTGATCCAAACCCTGATGATCCCTTGGTTCCGGAGATTGCCCATATGTACAAGACAGACAGGGCTAAGTATGAAGCAACTGCCAGGAGCTGGACCCAAAAGTATGCAATGGGTTAAAAATGACCATTGTGTGTTTGAATTTGTATAAAGATAAAATTTGTCTGTCCTATCAGCCATTGCAATGAAGAAGTGTAGAATAGTGCGAAATATTACCTTTCAAAAGAAATTTGTGCTCTTAATTTCTTGTGTTTAGACTAATATTTGTGGAAAACAAGAAATGTTTATTTATATTATTAGTATGTTGTCTTGTGTACTGAACATTTTAGACTCAATGTGCCCCTCATCTTTAACATTAATGTTTCTCCCCGCAAAGGTATTGACATAGTGGAGTGCTTTGAATTGAGATTCTCCAATTGAAATCTTAGTTGAGGAAATAGCAATAGGGTTGAAATGATGGCCATAGATTTGCTTGCCTGAAAATTCAGTTTTTATAACTTGTTCACAGGGTATTGACTATTGATTAGTGAGTGATGATACAATAGGAAAATATTCTGTATTAGTTTTCCATAACAATGTGATTTACTATTACTATATTGAGAGGTCCTTTAATTATTACCAAAATAGAAAGTTTTAGGAATGAGGGTCAAATTAGTCATTGAATGTAACTTGAAAGTGTAATTAGGCCACTGAACAAAAGAAAGTGTGATTACACTGTTTTCTCCTTGCGTTTTCCTTCCTTTTATTATTTATTATTTTTTATTTTTTATTTCATCAAGCAAAAATCCCAAAACAAGTGTGTATAGCTAAAATTGATTTTGAAATTTCTAGAAGGCTAATTGATTCGTTGTTCCTTCGTTGTATGTGTTGTGGGATAGTTGGGTTTTCTACTTTTGTACGAAGAATGCTTTAATGGTGTCGATATCATTGTTTTCTATTACTTTTGTAGTCTAATTTTTTAGCATCACTGCTTTCTATTACTTTGTCTTTGTATATTGTGGTACATCCTTATCTCGCATGCGGTTATTATGATGTGCATTGTATAATGGAATATTAGAAAGACTTGTGGTTCCTAAACCCTAAAAAAAAAGGAAGAAAATTGTTTAGTTAGGGGTATGCATTTAGGGTTTTGAGTTAGACTTGTGGTCTGACTGATTTTCATTCCATTAGTTGTTTGTTGGTAGGTTTCCAGTCATGTGTATGAGTGTAGAAATAATAATACACCATGGGACAGAATTTTGTTAAAGATACATATTTGAAGTATATAAATGGGGAGGTTTGGAATGTCAACATCGATCTAGATATGCTTCCATACCCACATTTACTAAACTTCATCCATGAAGGGCAATATGGTAAAATTGAGACACTATTATAAAGCACCCTATGAACCATTGGAGAACCTAAGAGTTCTGTAGAACGATGCAAGAACCCTAAACTTAAGTGCACTAGCAATTAAATCTAAATCATGTGATATTTATGTGGATCATGGAATTAGTGACGCTGAATTAATTCCAACTTATTTGTTAGCGAGAGGTGAAGGGAATGATGAGGTAATGGGGGTAGGGATGGCAATTTCAATCCGAGCCGTGGATATCCACCCGAATCCACCCCGCATGGATCGGGTTTTTTTGGGTGATGGTGGGTGGTGGGTCGGGGGTGGGTCTTAAAAAAGCAAATTCGCGGTGGGTCGGGTTGGATTCGGGTTCTATATACAAGACCCGCCTAGAATCCCACCCGACCCACCATGTGTGTGTGTGTGTATATATATATAATAGTAAAATAAATACTAGTAGTAGTATGTAGTTATTTATAAAAGTTTATATAACTTCGTGTATCTTTTTACTATTTTTTATATCAAACTACTAAGTTTATTTTTAAAAATTAACAATTTAGTTATTATATTTAAATATTTCCATTATTTATGTTTTAGTATCACTAATGGATTTTATTTTTTTATTATGTGTAAATAATTTAAATATTATTTTTTGAAAAACATAATAAGATGATAAGTGGTGGGTACCCGTAGTGGGCACCCGCACCCGGTGGGGGTGGGGGTGGGTTCTGAAAAAGTCCATCCGATGCGGGTTGGAGGTGGGGGTGGGTGGAGAAAATATAAGGTGGGTCGGGTGATGGATGTAGCCCTCCCCGACCCACACCCGACCCATTGCCATCCCTAAATGGGGGTGATGTAGCTGTAGGTAATTTTGAGGTTGATGGAAATGATCAAGAAAGAAATGAGGGTGATGGAAATGAGGGTGATGAAGAAGAGGAAGGAATTGAGGGTGATACGAATAGGAAGGGAATTGGGGTGATGAAGAAGACGATGTAAATGAGATAAATAGTGAAGATAGTGACTTTGAGAATGATATTGGAGGGGTTACACAAGATGATGAAGCCATGATTGATGTGGAGTTGTAGTATAAGGAGAAGGGAAAGGAAGTTAACTATAATGGCAATGTTAAGTGTAAGGCTAAGGGCAAGGTTAATGACCAAGAAGAAAGCAAAAAAAAAAAAAAACAAAATGAGGGTGAGGTATGTAGTGAGGATTATTATTATGACTTTGCAGACCCACCAACCTGTGAGTCAGAAGAAGGTCCACAATATATAACACCACCATCAAGGAAATGTGAGTTAATTCCATCAGAGGTCATTTGTTTTTTGTGTCAATTCTAAATTTAGTCCCAGCTATCGTTTTTGCTATTTAACATCACAGACTATTATTTTTTTTTGGACACTTTTAGTCTTTCCCATAACTTTTCCTATTTTTAAAAAGGGTATTTTTGTCTTTTCATATTTTTATTTTGTTATTATTTTTTTTTGTTTCAACCGGCTTAATTGGTGTAGGACTATAGGTAACCTTTGATTTTAGTAACCATATTTTTCAACCGGCTTTTAGTAAAGTTCTAAACCAGTTGAAATCGGAAAAATAACAAAAGAAAAATATAAAGAGACAAACATGCCCTTACTAAAAATAGGAAAAGTCATGAGAAAGATTAAAAGTGTGCAAAAAATATAGTCTGGGATGTTAAATGACAAAAACGATAGTCTGGGACTAAATTTGAAATTGCCACCAAAGACAATGGACCTCCGGTAGAATTAGCTCAGGAAATGTAGACTGCCATCTTATAATCCATAATGTGATTTCCACAAAAATAACAAGCATAAAAACGAAAGGAGAAAGGGCTAGGTTAGCTTGAGTCGTGTGATACTGACAAACGCTTTTTAGCGATGCATCAAAAGATTTGTGGGATCACGCCCTGGATTTGTATCATTTTTTCAAGGATGACAAATTAGAAACATTAGATTGTCATTGAACCAAGGAATAATAGTCATGCTCATCACATACATGTGCACAATGGCAAGGAGGCAAGGATTTGAGGTTGTAGGGATTGAAAGCAAAAACAAGATTCGAACTCAATTAAAGGAAAATAGGAATGAATTGCTCATCTATTACACGATGCTTCTAGTGTCTTAAGCCTTAGGTTATAACATTGCAATTGGCGGAGTTTAGTGAGGCTTTACAAGTACCGTTCACCTCTTGGTCTACTAGGCTTCTTCTTGGTATAGAACACTGTTAAGTGACTATAGTCCTAAGAAGCATTTCATCGAACACTTTGTCTTCACCCCATTCTTAGCTTAGGCCTTTCAGATCTTAAAGCTAGGAAATGTAATTGGTTTGGAGCTTCAGTTGATCTAACAATTTCTTGCCTAGATTAATTGCTTAGAACTACCTAAGGAGTTAGCCGGACTCCACAAGATACATACAATACACCAAATCACAACAGGATCTCAAGCACAATAGCAATGCATAACCTAATTATGAATTACATTTCACACTAGCATCATGTAATAGAATCACAATTCAATTCCTAACAAGGATCTAGCCACTCATTGTAGCTTGACAAATCAACATTGCATCAAGGATCAACAAAACAATTAAAGTAAAAAAGCAATTAAGTAATACCAAACTTGATTGCAAATGAGCTTCACTTCTACAATTGTTTCCTACATTGGAAGTGTGTCAAGCTTCATTCTCCAAGAAATCTTCAATCAATGCAAGAGAGACTAGAGAAAACCTAGAGCTCACAAAATCTGAAAATGTATTTTGCTAAAAGGTTAAAAGTCAAAAGTCCTTTTCTAAATCTAATCTAGGCCTTTAAATAGATCTCCCCGACATTTGCACTTATGTCCGCGCGCTGCTTCCTGTCCACGAGTCGTCCACGTTCATGGATCGCTCACTTATGCCAGCCGCGTCTCTCCTCCACGATCATGGATCGGACTCGTGGACTTTTCTGTTTCCACACCACGCAAGCTCCACGATCGTGGATCGGCCTCGTGGACTTTTCTGTTTCTTATCCACGAGGGCTCCACGATCATGGATTGGTCCTTGAAGTGCTCCGGCTTTACTCTCTTCTCAAGATGCTCTGGATCATGCCCATATGCCTTTCTCTTGAGCTCAATTCCTCTCACAATCATAAAACTACAAAGTATGGTGGAGTTTTGCAGCATATTAGTACATTCAAGCATAATTAACCATAAATCAACCACAAAGGATAGCAATTGAGTACTATACACCCCCTTAAGGACCATTAAACATGAGTGTCTTTGGCACTTATCAGATACCTACACTATCCTTAAAACCTTATTTGCTACCTCGTAAAGGTGCCTGGAGCGCTATAGCCTAGGTTTCACAAGATAAAACAAGATACAGTTTAACGTTTGAACATTCAAACGAATAAACCCAGTGAACTAGAACACATTTTTTATCACAGAAAAATGAGTAGGAGGAACATAGTTTCAAGAGGAAGAAAGGCAATATTTCAGTGTATAAAATCACCTGCTCAACAAAAACTTATATAGAGTTGCAGGATTAAATAACATTTAATCATAACATTAAAACTAATAATAAAATCAATCATTGTAATTTAATCATGAATTACCGAAGAGTGGTTCGAGCGGTAACTACTCCGAAATGACCTTTCGGTCACTCGCCTTGTGACTAGATAGTGGAATGGAATAACTTAGCCAATCCACCTCCACACAAAAGAGAGTCTCTATACTATACAATTCAACATCCTTTTAAAAGGGTCTTGTATATATAGTGGTGAAAATCTTCTTATTTTTTCAATGTGGGACAAAGGCTACTTATAAGCCTTTCCACCTTTATTTTCCAACTCAAATGGGGTCTACTTTGAGAATTAATTTCTCATTCACCCATTATCCGTTTTGAGCATACAATATATCAATCTATTTGTCTCACTACGAAGAACCCGAATCCACTTTGATCTAACCCAAATCGAAATTGGACTCCACATATATTTGTACCACAAAATAGCTACTTAAAATGCCATTTTTGCTA